TCCCCCGGGAGCCCGGTCCGGTCGATTTGGGGGGGGGGGGGGGCCCGACGAGCGCGTCACGGGCCCTTCCGGGCCCAAGAGGGCTTAAAGATGGGCCAAGAAGGCCCCAAGAGGGTTCCAAGACGGCCCACGAGGGCCCCGGGACGCTAAACGAGCGCTCCAAGACGCCCAAGATGGCCCCAAGACGGGCCAAGAGGCCTCCAAGACGGCCCCAGAGGTCCCAAACAAGCCTCCCAAGAGGGCCCCGAGAGGCTAAAATTGTTGATTTTCCATTGTGTTTTTCTGTGTTTTTTGCCTTTTCGCCTTTTCGGCTTCCCGACGTTCCAAGACGGCCCAAGAGGCCCCGAAGACAGCCCCCAAGACGGCCCAAGATAGCTCCAAGACGGCCCAAGAGGTCCCCAAGACGGCCCAAGAGGGCTCCAAGACGGCACCAAGAGGGGCCCCAGAGGGCGACCAAAAATTCAAAGCATCTAGCTTTCCGCCCCCAGGAGCCCCAGGGGGCCCCAAGAGTGCCCCAAGAGGCCGCCAGAGGCTCCCAAGAGGCCCCCAAGACGCCCCAAGGAGCCCCCAAGAGGCCCCCAGGAGGCCCAAAAAGACCCCCAGAAGCTCCGAAACGGCTCCCAAGTGGCTTCAAAACTGCCTTCCAGAGGCCCCCGAGAGGCGTGGCGCGAGATCCCGATACACATGCAAGAAGCCTCTAACCCAGAACAATGACCCAGAGCCTCCTCTCTGTGTCTCCCTCCTCCTCCTCCCCCTCCTCCTCCACCTCGGCCCCCAAGTGGCTTCAAAACTGCCTTCGAGAGGCCCCCGAGAGGCGTGCCGCGAGATCCCGATACACATACAAGAAGCCTCTAACCCATAACCCATAGCCGAGAGCCTCCTCTCTGTGTCCCCCTCGTCCTCCTCCTCCTCCTCCTCCCCCTCCTCCTCCTCCTCCTCCACCTCCTCCTCGCCCCCCTCCTCCTCTTCCCCCCTCCACCTCATCCTCATCCTCTTCGATTCTTGTCCCCCCCATCCTCCGCCTCACCCCCCATGCTTCTCTCCCCGTCCTCCTTTTCCTCCCCAGCACGCGCGCCCGATTGGTCATCATTTGCATGTCTTGCACTTCACGGTGCCCCTCTTTCCGTCGCGCGTGACATTGGTAGGGTTCACGGAGCACGCCGACTTAGGTAGTCTTCTCTTGCACGGGCCGCTACACTGATACGCCTGGCAACTGCGCGCTGCGAACCCGAGTGTCTTACAGGCTCCGCACACCACTTTGGCTCATTTTGCCTATCGGTGATCTTCCACTTGCTTCTGTTCCCCTTGGGATCATCGGCGTGTGAGATGCTCCCCCTCCCCAAACCCCTCCCCCGGGAGGGTTTTGGGGATCATCATCATCATCAGCATCATCCTCGTCGTCATCATCATCAGCATCGTCATCGTCTTCATCATGGTCGAGGTCGTGGTTCTGGTCGTGATCTTGCTCGTTGTCGTGGTCGTCGTTGTTGTCGTCGTCGTCATCCTCGTCGTCGTCGTCCTCGTCGTCGTCCTCGGGTCGTCGTCGGCGTCGGCGTCGTGGTCGTCGTCGTCACCGTCGTCGTCTTCGTCGTCGTGTCCATCATCGTCATCATTGTCGAGGAGGTGCTCGTGGTCGTGGTCGCCATCGTCGTCGTCATCGTCGTCGTAGTAGTCGTCGTCCTCGTCGTCGTAGTCGTCGTCGTCCTCGGCGCCGTCGTCGGCGGCGTCGGCGTCGGCGTCGGCGTCGTCGCTGTCGTCATCATGGTCGAGGTCTTGGTCGTGGTCGAGTCATCATGGTCGTTGTCGTGGTCGTCGTCGCCGTCGCCGTCGTCGGCGTCCTCGGCGTGGTCGTCGGCGTCGGCATCAGCGTCGTCATGATCGTCGAGGTCGAGATCGTGGTCGTGGTCGTGGCCGTGGTCGTCGTGGTCGTGGTCGTGGTCATCATCGTCGTCGTCGTCACTGTCGTCGTCGTCGTCGTTCTCGGCGTCTTCGTCGGCGTCGACGTTGGCGTCAGCGTCGGCGTCGTCGTCATCCTCGTCCTCGTCCTCGTCCTCGGCCTCGTCGTCGTCCTCGGGGTCGTCGTCGGCGTCGGCGTCGTCGTCGTCATCACCGACGTCATCATGGTCGAGGTCGAGGTCGTGGTCGTGGTCGTCGTCGTGGTCGTCATCGTCGTCGTCGTGTCAATCATCGTCGTCATCACTGTCGAGGTCGTGCGCGTGGACGTGGTCGTATGGTCGCCGTCGTCGTCGTCTCGTCGTCGTCGTAGTCGTCGTCGTCCGCGTCGTCGTAGTCGTCGTCGTCCTCGGCGTCGTCGTCGGCGTCGGCGTCGGCATTGGCGTCGTCGTCGTCATCATGGTCGAGGTCATGGTCGTGGTCATGGTCGTCATCGTGGTCACTGTCGTGGTCGTCATCGCCGTCGCCGTCGTCGGCGTCCTCGGCGTGGTCGTCGGCGTCGGCATCAGCGTCGTGGCCATGATCGTCGAGATCGAGGTCTTGGTCGTGGTCGTGGTCGTCGTCGTGGTCGTGGTCGTGATCGTCGTCGTGGTCGTGGTCGTGATCGTCGTCGTCGGCACCGTCGTCGTCGTCGCCGTCCTCGTCGTCGTTCTCGGCGTCTTCGTCGGCGTCGGGGTCGCGTCGACGTTGGCGTCAGCGTCGGCGTCGGCATCGGAAATGCTTGCTGGCGGCGAATGGGGGGGAAATTCGAATCAGCTCCCCCCTTGCGCCACGGGGGGGATCCGGAACCCCCCGTCACCCCAAGCGCAAGTGAAAAGTGCCCTGTCAAAACCCGAGCGCCGCGGCCGTTCCAGAGCGCTCCACGGATCGAGATTGTTGCTGGGCCTGACAAGCCCGAGATGAATCGAATCGTGAAATCGGATCGGATCGGAAACGGATCGGATATCGCCACCGAAGATGCTTCCCCCTCCCCTAACCCCTCCCCCCGGGGCCCAATCCTGTCGTTCTGGAGGGGGGGGGTCTGCCCGGCCCCGGGTGAACGCACGACGGGCCTCACGACGGGCAATGAGGGCCCCAAGAGGCCCACAAAATAGTCCAGACGCCCAAGATGGCCCCCAGACGGCCCAAGAGGCCTCCGAGACGCCCAAAGAGGCCCCCAAGAGGCGTCCCAAGAGGGCCCCCAGAAGCAAGAATCGTCCCATCCCCTTCAGGAAACGTATGATTTTAGCACATTCCCCACTTGGGCTTTCGCAACGTCCAAGGCGGCCCAAGAGCCCTCCAAGATCGCCCCATGCCCAGGAAGCCCCCAAGAAGGCTCCAAGACGGCCCAAGAGGGCCCCAAACCGGCCCAAGAGGTGCCCAAGACGGCTCCAGGAGGGGGCCCAGGCAGGGAACCCGAACGGAAATTGCAAGCCCTCGGCCCCGAGAAGCCTCCAGGAGGCCCCAAGAAGCCCCCAAGAAGCACCCAAGAGGCTCCAAGAGGCCCACCAGAGGCCCAAAAGCGGCCCCAAAACGGCCCCCAAAAGGCCTCAAAGTGCTGCCAGGAGGCCCCCGAGAGACCTACCAGGAGTCCCAAGGGGTCGGCGGTGCGGCGTAAGCCAACGAATCGCTGTCACCATCCGCTTCATCATCACCGTATCAATGTCACCGTTGTCATCAACATCATCACCTCGTCCTCCACCTCCTCCGCCTCCTCCTCATCATCGTCCTTCTGATCATCAGTATCATCATCATCATCATCATCACCATCATCAGCATCATGATTATCGTCAGCATCAGCATCAGCATCCACATCATGATCATCACCATCGTCATTTTCATCAACATCATCAACATTATCATCATCCCATCCGTCCTGTTCCGTCCTCCCTTCTGCACGGATCCCCACGCACCTCCGCCAACGGCGACCCGTGTCGCCCGACCTGTCGCGAACCAATCGATTCGTCCTTCTCCTCCTTCTCCTCCTCCTCCTCCTCATCCTTATTATCATGCTCATCCTCATCCTCATCCTCATCCTCCTCTTCCTTGTGCTCTTCTTCCTCCTCCTCCACCTCCTCATGTTCCTCCTCCTTCTCATCCTCCTGCTCCTTCTCCACCTCCTCCTCCTCTGTCCCCCTTCGCCCTCTCCGCTAAGAGCGTGCCCCCCACCAGCTGTTGCTTCATCCCCTCCTCTGGGCCGCCCACGAACGATGTGCCAATGCCAGCAGCAATGACGTTCGCGCGCTGCCCTTTCAGAATGTGTGTGGTGGTCCCTCGTTCACAAGCTCGGGGGGGCAATGGACGGCGATACGACTTCACGAGACTTGCTCGAGGTCTGCCCGGGTCATCTCCAGGAGCATCCATCATGAGGAGGGTACTGGTGAGAGCAATTCGGCGGCAAATCGCATCTTCCCCAACCCCTTTTCTAAGGGTGCCCCACCCCCCCCCACCCTCCACACACCCGCGCCTCCTCCCCTCCTCCTTCTCCGCCTCCTTCTCCTCCCTCCTCCTCCTCCTCCTCCCTCCTCCTCCCTCCTCCCTCCCTCCTCTTCCACACTCTTCATCCGCCCTCTCCCCTAGTACGCGCGAAAGACTTGCAGCCACACACTCGCAAGGCACCTGCTCGCAAATCGAAAAAAAAACTTCTCCTGTCGTCCGCCTGCGAGAAGCCGCCTTGCGGAGAATGGCCTGTGGTCCAGCCTGGGTGTGCACCCCGTGGGCGCTGCGTAACGGGGGGCGGCGACACATCTGGGGGAACGAGGGTTGCAGGAAACGGGACCCCAAAAGGGCCCCGAAGGTGTACAAAAGGTGTCCCTCTCTTGCCCCCTCCCCCCCCGAGAGGGCAGAACATCCACCCCACCCACCTAATGAGCACCCCGACAAGCACAGCCGCTCCGCAACCGCACCCATGCGAGGAAACGAACCGGGCAAGGCTGTTTAGTCAACGCCCAGGGCCGTCCAGTAAACGCCAGCTGTCGGGGCCAGGGTGGTTGCTCCTCCCGTGAACCCCCCCATTCATCGCCTGGCCATTGTGCAACGCCCGATCCCTCGCCCTCCACGAACTTCTGTTACTCGCGCGATCGAAGGGTCCACTGCGCCTGTTCGGCGCCCGCGCTCACGGGCCAGAGCGCCGCGAGGCTGCGCGGACCGCCTCCGACGCCGCGGCGACGGAGATGTTTGCGCCGTCTTCCTGTCGGGCCTCCTGGCAAGTAGGGGGAGGAGGCGGAGGAGGAGGAGAAGGAGGAGGAGGAGGAGGAGGAGCGAAGGAGGAGGAGGTGGTGCGGGGGGGGAGTGGAGGATGAGTGGGGGTGGACTGGCGAGAGGAGGAGGAGGAAGAGGAGGACCGGTGTAAACCCAAGACCCATCAACGATGTTGAAAAAAAACCTTCGCTCCTAGTCCCCGCTTCACAGGCCCGTGCAAGGGTTCATTTTCACTGATGGAAGTGTCCCGTGAGAACACAATCATTTTAGAATTCTCAATCGTGCTAGAAACCCATTTCTGAGACGTCACCGCTTGCGTCCCAAATCGTGCCAGAGCACCACTCACGGGACTGCAGCCAAACGAATCGTGTAAACCGCTGCGAACGCTCACAGCGAACGCACGCGGCGCCAAGGCGAGAGCCACCTTTGACAAGGGTCCGCCCCTCGTCCCCGAGGAACTACTGCATGTTTTGAACACGAATGTACGCGGCGCTACGGCGAGAGCCACAATTTGAAGGCCTCGGGACCTGGCCTCTCAGCGACACCAAGAGCCCCCTGCGCGAGAGGACACGCCCCTCACGGGACCACCCCTGGCGCCGCGGCGCCGTTGGCGCAGCAGCCGTCTCGTCGAAGGTGGCACCCGCAGAAGGCCGAGTGGGAGACCCGCCCAAGCAAAGCACAGGAGGTACCCTCGAGGAGCGGGCAGAAGGCAGGGGAACTCAATTCCGAGACGACCCTTTTCCCTCACGAAGCTCCCCCCTAACGAACAATTTCTTCCGCCCCAGCGAACTTTTCCCCCCAACGGATCTTTCTTCCCCCGACGACTTGTTTCCCCAACGAGCTGGCAAACGGGAGGAGGATGGGGTGGGGGATGAGGGAGGAGAGGAGGGGAGGCAGAGAGGCGCGGAGGGGAAGAGGGGAGGAGGGGAGGAAGACGGGAGGAGGGCGAGCGGGGGGAGCGTGAGAAAGAATGGGTGGAGGACGAGACAGATGAGGAGAAGGCCGTGCTGGACCTGAGGATCCTACAGGAGAGGAAGGGCAGATCGCAGTCCAGACAGGAACGGCCTGCCCGACCGCCAGGAGCGAATCGAGAGTGGTACAACTGGCTTGCCGCGGCCGCAGAGGCCATGAGCAGGGCACCGACACGGGGCACCAACGCAGGCGCCTGCTCTCCACGAGCACCGAGCCCACAGGCCGCACGACGCAGTAGCTGGCAACCTCGAACCTCCACTTGGCAAGCAGACGCACGCGGTGGCTCCCCAGTCAGAGTAGCGTATGGCACAGCAGGGCATTCGATGGGCAGGCAAGGGGACCTCGACAAGGGAGCACGTGCGAGGACAGGCTCTCCCAGCTGGCACACCACCACGGGGGCCCAGCCGTCCGGCCCCTCAGGCTGTGGCGCTGACGCTGGGCTGCCAGGGGCGCCCCCCTCCCCCCCCTTTCCCTCCTCCCGCCCCCGCTCCCCCCTTCCAGGGTGAACCCTCCCTTCCCCTCTCCCTCCCCCCTTCCCCTCTCCCCCTCTCCCTCCTCCCTCCTCCCTCCTCCCGTCCCCGACCCCCCCCCCCCCTCCAGGGTTCACGTGCGCCCACCAGGGCTCGTCCTGGGGGGGCCCTCCAGCCAGAACGTCGAAGCGGTCAGCCCGCCGCGGTAACGAGGAGCCTCCTCCAGGAGGCCCCCAAGAAACGCCCACAGAACTCCGATCCCCTCCTCCTCCTCCTCCTCCTCCTCCTCCTCCTCCTCTTCCTCCTCCTCCTCTTCCTCCTCCTCCCTCTCCTCCTCCTCCTCCTCCTCTCCTCCTCCTCCTCCTCCTCCTCCTCCTCCTCTCCTCCTCCTCCTCCTCCTCCTCCTCCTCCTCCTCCTCCTCCTCCTCTCCTCCTCCTCCTCCTCCTCCTCCTCCTCCTCCTCCTCCTCCTCCTCCTCCTCCTCCTCCTCCTCCTCCTCCTCCTCCTCCGCCTCCCGCCTCCGCCTCCGCTCCTCCTCCTCCTCCTCCTCCCTCCTCCTCCTCCTCCTCCCCTCCTCCTCCTCCTCCTCCTCCTCCTCCTCCTCTCCTCCTCCTCCGTCTCTCGCGGGGAAGAGAAGGCGGAGCTGAGGATGAACGTCGGGGGGGGGGGGGGGCGACTCAGAGGGGGGAACGTCGAGGGGGAAACGTCGAAGTAGATCGGCTCCAGGCCTTCGGTAGCAAATCCGAACGTTCTCGGGCGGGGTGGAGTGGGGGTCGATGCATCTCCGCTGAGCCTACCCGCCCCTTAACGTTGCTCAGGCCCCGTGAACCAGGGCACTGCAAGCCATGACTCGGACGCCGGTAGGGCCAGCGAGAGCAAAACGACGACGGGAAGATGCTTCAACCCGCGGCTGCAGCGTTCTCGGGTGAGCCAACGTGAGGGAGAAGGAAACGCACCACCACCACCACCACCACCACTACCACCACCACCACCACCACCACCACCACCACCACCACCACCACCACCACCACCACCTGGAGGATGGAGGCAGAGGCTGGTCAGCAGTGGTGGTAGTGTAGATGGTTTCGGGCGCTCTCGCAGGACATCGTGCACACCCGCATCCCGCACATAGAGGCCTCCTGGATGGGGTCCGAGTGGATGGGGTCGGAGGATCGCGCCGCATCGCCGATACGTCGGCAATGCATCGGCGATGCATCAGCGATGCCGCGGCGATGTATCGGCGACGTCGGCAATACATCGGCGACGTCGGCATTGAGAAAATCGGGCTCCACATCAAAGCGCATCGCCGATGCATCGGGGATGCGGCGCGATCCTCCGACCCCCTCTACTCCGACCATTACCTGGGAGGTCTAGATCTCCTGGATGCGCCAAGGTTATTCGGGAGAAGGAAGCGCTTCTTCAATCCCCCCGGGGGGGCCTGGCCCACCTCGGCGCCGCCGCTCCCGCCCGCCCGCCGACGCAGGCGGCCCGGCAGCGCGATCGACTCCAGCGCGGGCCCCTGGGGCGCGGAGGGCGGAGGGGAGCCAAAAAAGCACGATTAGCCGCCCAACAAAGATACGCAATATACTGCCCAAAATCCTTGGGGGGGTGGGCGAGGGCACCAGTCGTGGGCTTGGTATACAAGATTGCCTTCATGCGGTGAAGCTGTTGTATGCTGGACGTGGCCCCGAGCGGTGGAATTTTAGAGGGGCGCGGGGGGGGGGGCGCGGGATTCCCTGCGTCCGAGCTACTACCGTGTTGTTCAATCCTGTCGCAAAACTGTTTGGATCAATGTCCACGCGACGCAAGAACAGGAGGAGGAGGAGCAGGAGGAGGAGGAACGCTACAACCTTAGATATTGAAGTCCAAGAACGAGGAAGAGGAGGAGGAGGAGGAGGAGGAGGAAGATGAGGAGGAGGAGGAGGAAAAGGGAGGGGAGGAGGATGAGGAGGAGGAGGAGGAGGAGGAGTAGGACGAGGAGGAGGGGAGGGAGGAGAGAAGGAGGAGGAGGAGGAGGAGGAGAAGGACGAGGAGGAGGAGGAAGAGGAGTGTGAGAGAGGAGGAGCGGGAGGGAAGGGAAGGCAGGAGCAGGAGGGAAGGAGGAGGGAGGGGAAGAGGAGAAGGAGAAGGAGGAGGAGGAGGAAGAGGAGGAGGAGGAGGAGGAGGAGGAGGAGAAGGAGGAGGAGGAGGGAGGGAGGAGAGGAGGAGGAGGGAGGAGGAGGAGGAGGAGGAGGAGGAGAGAGGAGGAGGAGGAGGAGGAGGAGGAGGAGAGGAGGAGGAGGAGGAGGAGGAGGAGAAGGAGGAGGAGGAGGAGGAGGAGGTAGGGGGGGGGACCGATCCCCAAACGACCCCCTGCGACTGCATTGGAGACGATCAAAGGGCTAGTAAGCAGAATTTTGCCAGATTGAATCAAGGATTGAGCCAGATTGAGTGAGATACTGAGTGGGATTAACCGGGTTTGCATCCGATGAGGCCCGGCCGATTGGACCAAGGATGCACCGGGGCCGATGCTGAATTCAACCTCGCCGGGATTGCAACGAGGCCTAGGCAAAGGGAACACTCATGGAACAGGGGGAAATGTGCATTGGAAGCCTTACGACGGCCCCCGGGTAGCCTGGAGGTGCTCAAGGATCCAAACAGGGCGCCAGTGAACTGCCGAGACACTCCCGACAGGCCAGCAGGAGGGTCCTAAACAGGCCCACGGGGCACCAGCAGGGCAGCGAGTGGCAGAGCAGGCACCCTGGCGATTTCTGGGGCCCACAGGTGCCCCAGGAGTACCCAAGAGAGTCTCCAGAGGGCCCAAGCCTGCCTTTGGGCACACGCGCATCGAGTAGACGACCACATGCGAACCATACCCCCACATGGCAGAACTCGAGGGCAGAGGACGCGGCCGAAAAAGGAGGGGAGGGAAGCGAGGCCGCTCAGGGGGACGGGTCACGCCCCGAGCGCGATAGCCCATCCACACACTCGCATGGCAACAACTCTCCCCTGAATGCTTAGGACACAACAAGACGGCAGAAGGGAGATAGCGCGTGTCTGTTCGCAACTGATGCCCTCCGCACCCTTCGGTCGGGCGTGTCCTCCTGAAGGCGGATTTTTGATGAAAAATCAAACATTTTCACGTGAAAATCCACTAATGCCGCAAACTACTCAACAAAAATGTCCCCTGATTATGTTTTGCCTGTTTTTGAATATTCCCCCTGTAGAGGGACACGCCCGAGTGAACCGCACCCCCGACCTCCCTGACCCCCAGCTAAGGCGTCTCTATTCTGGAGGGCCAAAAATCCATCCCCATAACAACCACTCCGACAAGCGAAGCCGTTTAATAAGCGCACCCAAAAAAAAGAATCGAACAGGGTAGAGCTGTTCCGTGAACGCCCAGGGCCGTTCCGTAAACGCCCACTATCGGGTCCGGGCGGTTTCTCCTCCCTTGGTGTTCGCGGCCGCTGTCCTCCGAGCACCCCCGCCCGCCTCTACTGTGCCTCACGGTGGGTGCGCCTCGCGCTCCTCCCCATCGCCCTCTTCCGCCTCCTTCGCGCATCATGCGGTGAGGGCAAAAAAGCCCTTGGATAAGGAACCCAGGGCCTGGAGGCCGGCGGAACTCCAATCGCGAATTGACCATGGATATCACCGCCGCCCTCCTCCGATATGGAACCCTCCAGGGTCTGCAGCCTTCGGGGAGCAGTCCTTAATCAACGCCCCCACCGTACCACACACTTTTTCCGTCAGCGGCGAGGCGGCGAACTCCGCTCCAGCGAGAAGCTAGATAGGGGCACTAACTAGCGAATTGGCCGGCGAGTCAAGAGGGGGGGGACGGCCGAGAGGAGGAAGGGACGCTCAGACGCCGAAGAGTTCGACGAAGAGCCGCCAGGGGGGGGCAGCAGCAGCCAGGCGCGCAGGGCCAGAGCGCCCCACCCTACCACACACCCACAAGGCACACTCCCATCTGGCTTCGCGGGCCGCGCCGCTGCGGGAGCAGAGAGGCAACGCGTCTCAAAGATTTGCGTTGCTCGTGCCCTCCGTGCCTCGCGCCTCCTCACGATGCTCCTCGCGGCACTCCTCCTGCCATCCTGCCCTCACCCTCACCCTCCTCCTTCGCACACCCACGTGGCAAACTCCCACCTGGCTTCACGGGCATCGCCACTGCGGAAGAAGAGAGGCGGCGCTCAAAACATTCGCGGCCCAGGCCCACCGCACCTCGAGCCTCCTCACGATGCTCCTCGCAGCGCTCCTCCTGCCATCCTGCCCTCACCCTCCTCCTCCCTCGCAGCGTATCGCTCCTCCTGGTCCTCCTCCGCCGTCTCCCTGCAGCCAGCCGAGCAACCCAGGACGTTCTACGAAATCCGTTATTCCGGGGGGTAATTAGGCGAAATGGCGCACGCATGATTGCATGACCAATGCTGAGCCCAGAGAAGCGCCTGATACGAACAACGAACCAAAGACCGAAGCTGCGCTGGTGATGGCCGCTGCTACCTTGACAGCCCATGCAGCAACATGCACATCAAATCTGCTTTGGAAACTGCGGGGATCGCAGCCGTGAGCACCGCGTGTCCGTGCCCGGCCTTCCCGCAGCGGAGCCCCCCCGCGAGCGGCCGCCGTTCCGGGGCGCTGCGGGATCTCTCCCTGCGGAGGCCCCACCCCCCTCGGGTGTGGCGGCACTGGGAGAGTGTGCACCCCAAGTCGTCCGGTCGGCCAGGCGGCTCGGTGTGGCGACGCCCCAGCTGCCCAACCTGCGGGCTGCAGGAGCGTCTGCACCCATCGGTCGGAAGCAGTGGGTAGGAGCACGAAGCAGGAAGGCGCTGAGTGCTGATTGGGTGCCCGCCCACCCCTCAAAGAGGACGGGAAAGGTGGAGCCGCTCGATCATTGAAGTAGGAATGCGCTGAAAGTAGATTGGCATCTGGGAACCCCAAAACACCGAATCACCTTCCACGACCGATGGGTACACCGAGCTCCTTCGCCGAGTCCACGTAGGTCGGGCATGTCCTGTGACAGGCGGATTTCGGACGAGAAATGACAATACGCCAAGAATGCCCCAAAATAGCCAAAGAGAGTCGAAGCATCGTCCCCAGACTCTTTTTTGGCTATTTTTGTGCATCCCTCCTGTAGAGGGACGTGCCCGACCTCGTCCTTGGCCGACCCAGCGACGTGGCGAAAACACAGAGCCCCTCCGAGGCACGCCGCCCCCGCGACAACGGGCGGCGAGCGAACACCCCCGGCGCCGCCAAAGGCAGTCTCACTGCACCGACCTTGCACACGTGCTGCAGCGGATTTTCGCGCGGATTTCTGCCAGTGCAAAACCCCGAAACGGTGAGCGAAAAACGACGTGAATGCCGCGTGGATGTGTTTTCGTCTTCATTCCTGGCCCCCCAAAAAGGCAACACGAAATTCACCTCGAGATCCGGAACAAAATTCTCGAGGACACTCCGAGAGACGATGGCGCCATGAGCAGTCCCGGAGATGCCGCGCGCAGGGCGTGCAGGGGGGCAGGCAGAGACCTGCTCCGGGGAGGGGCGACCGAGGCCCTGATGGCCCCATTGTCCACCACCGCTGCCACAGGCAGGGCGGGGGAGAAGGGAGGGTGGGGAGGTCCTCCCCCCTCCTCCTCCTCCTCCTCCTCCTCCTCCTCCTCCCTCCTCCTCCTCCTCCTCCCCTCCTCCTCCTCCTCCTCCTCCTCCTCCTCCTCCTCCTCCTCCTCCTCCTCCTCCTCCTCCTCCTCCTCCTCCTCCTCCTCCTCCTCCTCCTCCTCCTCCTCCTCCTCCTCCTCCTCCTCCTCCTCCTCCTCCTCCTCCTCCTCCTCCTCCTCCTCCTCCTCCTCCTCCTCCTCCTCCCTCCTCCTCCTCCTCCCCTCCCTCCTCTCCTCCTCCTCCTCCTCCTCCTCCTCCTCCTCCTCCTCCTCCTCCTCCGCTCCTCCTCCTCCTCCTCCTCCTCCTCCTCCTCCTCCTCCTCCTCCTCCTTCCTCCTCCTCCTCTCCTCCTCCTCCTCCTCCTCCTCCTCCTCCTCCTCCTCCTCCTCCTCCCTCTCCTACCTATGGTAGCAGTGGTGGGATCTCCGCCCATCAGGCCCAGACGTGGTCGCGTCTTGACGGAATCACGACGGGAGCACTTCGGCTGCTCCCGGTCTCGGGGGCCCTCGCGGGGCCCAGGGGCTGCACAAAGACGACTTGGAACGAGAGGCCGGCTCAGAGGAAGGGGTCCAGACCTCGGGGGGTCCTCGCTGGGATAGACTCCACGGCGTCGGAGGCCTGAGCTGAGGAACTGCTCCGGGGAGGGGCGCCCGAGATCCTGCGCCGCGGGAAGCGAGCCGGCGCGCCCCTTCCCATCCGCCTGGGCACCACCGGCTCTGGCGAGGATCAGCTCGTGGCCGCTGCGGCACATGGAGGTGTAGTAGCCTGCGCCCCCCACCTCTCCACACTGCGGAAGGGCTAAGATCCGTATCTTGTGAAAGGGGTGGGTTTCGCGGTGAAAGTGCTCCAGAGGAGCCTCGCTGAAGTCACACTGTCATGAACGATTTCTGGGCCTGGTGACCACCTTCGAGCAGAGAGCTCAAACGGCATGAAGTGTCGATCGAGGGCGGCCTTGAAGAGCTGTAAGAGAAAAAGGATTTACAAAAGTGGACAGGGGAGAGGAATTGAAAAGCCGTGGGTAGAGATGAGAAGGAGCAGCGGAATGAGAGGAGGAGCATAGATAAATTTGAGCAAGCGGGAGCGAGGGGAGGGAGGGGGGAAAGGGGAGCCAGGAAGAGATAGCATGCAACAAGTGAACATATAAAGCTCAGGCGGGTCCTGCATATTCAAGCGCAATTTAAGGTGCTTGGAAACTCCACAACAATATGCGAATATTGGTGTCGCTCCAGCTATGCTGACGCAGCCCACGCTACGCGGGGTCCGTAATCCCACCAGCCCTTTGGGCGCAGGTGGTCTAGGACGTTTCCTTTCCCAACCTCCTTCCTCTCCCTGCTCGGGAGGTGTACCTCCCCTCCCCCCTCCACGCGTTTGGACGGGCTCCCCCCGCGAGGGGTTAGAGGGTCCTTTCTGGCCCAAGATGGCTCCAAGAGGGCCTCGGAGAGAGCAAGATGGCGTCCAAGATGGCCGAAGATAGCGGTAGATGGTTCAAGATAGCCTCCGACACACGTCCAAGAGGTCTCAAGACGGCCCCAAGACGGTTTCAAGTGCCCTCCGAGGCCTCCGAGGACCCCCCCAAGAGGCCCTACAACCTCCAATGCAATCAACCGAACATCCCAAGCTCATCCGCTTCACCATCGGGAGCAACATGGTGCAACTGTCATGGAAAAGGACACGTGTGGACACAGATCCCTGTGCGCATCCAGACATGCACGTCACGTTCACCTTTTCCACCTTCCTCGTTCGAATCCCGGCGAACTGAAAGCCTGGATCAAGCAAGCAAGATACATGGACTATGTTGACCAGGCGCTTTAAGCTGGTCTCCAGAAAACTAAGAGTTAAGCCCTGGTCCTAACTGGCCCTCTTGAAACCACCACAAATCTAAGCGTTTTGCAGCCCAACAAGAACCTCACGCAATGAAACAGAAAGTGATGACAGAAGCCTTGACTCTTCAGACAAGCCGACCGACCACATGACGTCTAGCCGGTAAAAAGCTAAGAAGCCGATGTCGAAAAGATGAATCCGACCAATGAACTGATCATGAAACGATCAACCGTGGCCAATGGATCTATGGCGTAACACCCAAACAAACGGCCAACATGTAAACTATACGCTGACCAATCTCAAAACTGGAGCCAACCGATGACGCAATCGGCCGACAAGTTGACCAGGCACACCAACAGAATAAGCCTATCGGTTGGCAGGCGGGTGACCCGTTCAATCGCTGCGTGAAGCAGATCACCTGGAGCCCGCCTACGACAGAAACTGCTCCTGTTCGGTACGTTGCCCTGCATTTTTGACAACCCCTACACTAACCATTCATAGGTCATGTTCTCCTCGCAAGCCGATTGGGCAGTGGAGGGGGGAAGGGGCGAGGAGGAGGGAGGAGCTGGTGGACCCTCCTCTTGAGGAGGACAAGGAGGGTCATGGCCGCTGGCCAGACCAGAGTGAAGCACGCGCCCACCCTGAGCTCAAGTCGGGGATCTGCTGACCCGGGTCAGTCCAAACCCGGTCCAGTCAGGCCGTGCAGGATCCTGCAAGATCGTGCAGGATCCTGCGCCCAAGCAGAGGTCAATGCGACCCTGGCTCTGCAGGATCCTGAAAGATCTGGCGCCCTGGCTGATCCCCGCTTGCATTGACCCCCGTCTCAAGGCTCGCGATCAAGATGGGCATGGTCGGCACAGGTGTCGGAGCAGAGTCGGTGTCCCAAGGCGTGCGATGTACCCATTTTTTCTTTCCCAAGGTGTTGGTGCAGAGTAGCCGTCCTTCCCTCCCTGGCCGCGGAGACCCCACCAACAGCCGTCATGGGAAGATCGGGCGCCGAGAACCACAGGACATCACCTCGCTGTTACGACAGGCGCGATCACCTCCTCAATGCGCTGCCCGTGGTAACGCGCCGTGCCCCGTCCCAGCCGTTCATACGCCATCTGCCGATGAAATCTCCCGAGGTCGCGTCCCAGCCGGTCAGGGTGCTGCCCGCTTTGCTCCGATGAAGTACGGCCTTCCGCCCCCTCTGCCGCTCCCTCTCCTTCTGGCGGGGCCCTGGGGCGGGAAGCAAAGAGAGGCAGCAGTGGGAACAGAGGAGGACGGCGAGGATCGGGAGAGGGAACAAGAGGGAATGCAGGAGGTGGAGCAGGACGAGAAGCAGGGGCAGCTGCAGTAGCGGGAACAGCGACAGGACGAGGACGAGAAGGGAGACGCGCGTGGCGGCGGTAGAAGGACGCAGCCGACTTGGCAGCGAGCGTAATGTGGACAAGATGACGCTGAAGACCGGAGGCAGAAAATGATGGGTGGAAGCTGTCTGATCGGATGAAGATGATGACGGGGAAGACGAGGATGGGGAAAGGGCGAGGAAAAGGACGGCGGTAAGGGAAGGAGGAGGAGGAGGAGGAGGAGGAGGAGGAGGAGGAGGAGGAGGGCCCTTCCTGTCGCTCAGCCCCCTCGAGTGGGCTGAGCGGCAGGAACATAAGGGGAATGAAGAGGAGCGGTTCCCGAGGGAAGGAGCAAGGGAAGGAGGCGGTGGAGCGGAGGGGGCGCTGAAGTGGGAAAGACGAAAAACACTAGCAATCCGCCCTCCGTCCGCCAACGGAGGCGGCAAAGGGGCCCAGATCCAGAAACCGCGGAGCTGGACGTCGCCGCCGCCTGGCCAGTCGCCTTGCTCCCAACGACAAGGGGGCCTTGTTCCCGTAGCCGCCGGCTGGCCGCCAGCGCGCCTTGTTCCCAAGAAAAAGGGGGCTTCGGGTGCGCTCGGTTCAGCGGAGCGGCGGGGGGTTTTCAGAAGGCGGCGGGGCCTCCCAGACGCGCTCTGGCATTCAAGGAAACTCCTGCGGCTTCGGATAGGACGCATGGAGCTCTTCCGAAGGCAGGAGGCCTTCCGAGACCTCTGGGGGGGCCCGCCCCCAGTGCATTCCCCATGGGCGCGCCATTGAAGCTCGCATGCATCGTGGGGCGTCGCAACGTGTGTTGGTAGGGGTTTTCGGCGCCGAACCACCCTGTAGGATGCTATGCGCCGCACCACCGCGGATGCCTCCGGCGGGGAAGGTTTCGGGCGGTGGCGTTCCCGAGGTTGCGAGTTCTCATTCAACCTGGGGGTTCCCGTCGCCTCTCGGTGGGATGCTACGCGCTGCGCCGCTCACCGCATTGCCCTCCTGCATGAACGTCGAAAGCTCCGCCAGCGGGCGTTCGGTCGTCGACCGGAAGCAGCGTTTCCTCAGGGATCCACGCGGGGTTTGGGATCACTCTTAAACCCGACACACCTCTACGAGGCTTCGGAAGAGCACCCTGACGCCAGGCGCCATGCCACCATGAGCGAAAGCCGGCAGTGGCGGAAACCCTGCGGTGGCGGCGCACGCGCTTCCCGTGCGTCCACGAAGTGGTGGCGTTACCACTATATGCGCAGAAAGCGTCGCGAAGGGGCCAGCAGCACCTCGGGGCGTGGCGCTGTCATTACAGTCGCGGAGAGCGACCCAGAGGGGGGAAGCCCAAAGGGTTCGATATTCCCTGTGGCTGTACTGATGCTGCCATGGGAGCTCGCGAGGCGTCGTTCAGCAAGGCACTGCACAAGCTCATGGGCCGCTGTGTTTGCGGATGTTTATGTACATGTTCGCCCATTCGGGATCCAACGGGCTCCTGCTGCGGCCACCACCCAAAGAGTGCCCGTCACAAGCTGAGCAAATTCTCATGGATCACAGTGGTGTTCAGCCAAGTCATGGTTAGGGCCCAGATTGGGGGGGGGTCCATGGAGAAGAGGGAAGAGGAGGAGGGAGGGCGGAGGAGGGAGGGGGGAGACAGGAAGGACCAAAGAGGAACGAGGGCCGAAGCCTCGCGCAGCCGCCCGAACGCACGCAGAACCCGACGGGCGGGACACCCGATGATCTCGGCAGACCTCAGAAGAGGCCGCAGTGGAAGCACTCCCGCGCGTCGCCGCCGAAGCCGCCCTCCACGAGCGCTGCGCGGCGCAGCGCCAGACCAGCAAGGCGCTGGCGGCCCCGCGAGAAACTTGACGAGGCAACGCAGTCCACCTGGAAAGATGGAAGAGCAAGTCCGATGGATCACCACCGACCACGGCAATCAGAGAAGTCCTTTTTCTGGGCCGTGGGCCCGAACGGGACTCAATGAAAACCGTGTCCTGCCCAGGCCCCTCAGTTCCACAGAGAATCACCCATGGCCCTTGACGTCCCTGTTTGAGCTGCTGCATCACAGACAAATGCAGGGCGCCTCACGACAAGCGCGATGAGGCAATCAAACAAAGACGTGGAAATCTGGAAGTACCTCCCAACCAGGCACCACCCACCGCGGCAGCCAAAGACGCCCATGACTATGCCGTTTCGGGCCCCGACGGCAACGGCACTACGCACTGGGGACCTGGCCCACCCAGCAGCGGCGACCTAGGGCAACCCACGCGCCACAGCAATGCGCACAGGGACCAACTGATCGCCCTTGGAGTCCCTGTTTGAATGGGACCGCTTCGGAGCCCCGCGCCATTCGCGCAACGCGGCGCGGACAGACCCCACCCTGCAGCGGCGGACCGAGGGGAACTCGCGCGACACAGCAGTAAACCAAGCCAACCACAGGAATGGCACGCGACGCCGCTATTTGACGTAACCGAAACTAAAGACGCCGCAACAAACCAATGTTACCCAAGGCCAAGGCCCCCAGCAGGCATCGCATCTTCCAATGGTCCGCAACCGTCGCCCGCGAGCACTTCCAGCGCGGGGGCGGCGAGCGAGGATATATTCGTTGGGCGCTTCCCTGCCGGGGGGGCCCTTCCTCTGGCTGCTACATATCGCGAGAAGGACTGACCACGGCCTTCACCCGATGGAATGCCGCAGCATTCTTGCGCGAGCTGCTGAGACGCCCCTCCCCCAGAGCACGCGGCGCACATCTTGCAGAAGATGGTCGGGCCAGCTCGCCGCAACTTGTGCTGATTTGACTCGATGGAACCGTTTCCTGCCCACTTCGCAGCGGCGACCGAGGGCAGAACCCGCGCCGCAGCAACACTTACAGAAAACCACCCGTGGCCCCTGATCGAGCTGGCCCGATTCGATTCGGGCCCCAACGGCGTTCGCGCCACGCGCCAGGGGCAGAGGCCGCCCGGCAGCGGCGGGCGGACACGTGGAAACACACGCGCCACACCGGGCCGCACATGGCCCACGACGCCCCAACTTGACGAACGTGCTACTAACTGAGGACGCTGTAACAAACCAATGCTACCCAAGGCCCCCAGCAGGCGCCGCAGCTTCCGATGGCCCGCCATCGTCGCCCACGAGCACTTCCAGCGCCGACGCGGTGAGCAAGGCGTTATTCGCTCGGCGATTCTCGGCTAAGGGCCTCCTTCTACCGGCATTGGCATTGCGCGCGAAAGACTTGCCGCAGCCCTCGCCCGAGGGAATGCCCCGGCATTCCCGCCCGAGCTGCTCGCGCACCCCTCCCAGACGAGGCGGCTCGCACCTCGCAGAAGATGGCCGGGCCAGCTCGCCGCGCCGCGTGCTTGCTGGGCTCAATGGGGTCGACCCCGCCCACTGACTCATACGCAGCGGCCTGCGCCCCTGGATGGCCGGGGCAAGGCGGCCGGTCCAAAGCTTTCATCGCAAGGAGGCCTGCCGCCGATAACTCGACCCTGGCTCCGAGCTCAACGACGTCGCCGGCACTGGGCCCGTCGAACAGGTCATCCTGACAGCCTGAGAGGGAGCGCGAAAAGAAAGGCCCCGAGCAGCCAGCGATCTTCCAGGCGCCCTCCTCGCGCGCGCTCTCCGCGCACACGAGCCGCCACCCTGCGGCTGGGCGACCGCGCTCGACGCGATGGAAGCCGCGGGCGCAGCCAGGAACTCGTCCTTGGGAGGCGCGCCCCAGGCCGACGGCCCTCCACTGCCAAGCTCGAGGGCGTGCTGAATGGCCGGGCCGATGCACTGCGCCAGCTTCTTCGCGCACTGCAGCATCCCTCGCGGATCTCCTCGTAGATCTCGAGGCCGGCGTTCGAATCAGCCCCCCTTCTCGCGGACAGATCAGCCCACGTGTTGCCCAGGAACAGGATCGGGGCTAGCCGTATCTGCAGGTAGTCATCGATGTGTCTGCGGGCAGGGACCCGCATGGCCTTCGGCCTGGTTGGCTGCGCCCCCAACGCCCTCTAGATCGAAGCGCGCGCTGCTGGGGCCGAGCCCAACTGCCCGCGCCAGGGCGCCGCCTCCGACTCCAGCGCCAGCAAAACTGCGAAGAGAAAGTTGAACTTGGGACCGGAGCACCCCACCACCATCGGCAAGGCGCATCTCTCCGATCTGCCCACCGCCAGGAGCGCCCTGGGACGGGGGCCGCGCGCACCGCGAAGCACCGCTCCTTGCCCCGAGAACGCCCGGCCGACCGCAACACTTGAGTTCTGGAAAGGCAGAAGCATGAGCTCTGGATAGGCAGACGCCCGCCGCCGCCCCACATGCCAAGTAATCGGCGGCACCTGCGTGCTCGAGGCCGCACGTGGCGTTCCAGGCCCACAGGGCACCTGCCCAATGCGCTGTCAGACAAGACGCTTGTGGCGCCTCCGCAACAGCCGCCTTGGAAGCTCCGACGCACAGACGAATCGCACGAGCCCCCAGCTGCTAATCCCCCCGCCCGGGCGCCGGCGCCTGGCCGCAACGCGCTTGCCCGACCACCTCTCGATTGAACTGACATGGCGGCATGTCGGATCCTCTGGGATGACCGTCGTCAAACTGAGCCGCTAGCCCAAACCATTGACCAGCGCCCCTGGTGTGTTGATGCGCCAGCTGATGCTCCGCGGCGCGAGGATGACTGGCGGAATCGGCTCCTGTTCGTTGATATCTCAACCCAAGCGCGATGCAACCTGCTCGGCGCGCCCCCTTCATCCCACACCTGCGCAGCGCACCTGCACGCCGCGTCGCACATGGCCGACAATAGACAATGCATGATCAAACTCCCGGGGCCGCTGATGCGCATCAGACATAGATCTATATATAAAAATACATACTTATATCTATATATATATGCGAATAA